TGAAAATGCTTGAATTTGCATCTGGAAATAGCAGGGATTTGGAGATAAAAGTCCACTATAAATAAAATGTGTGGCTGTACACTGATAGTAATACGATCCAGGTTAAAGAAGTAACTGTACAGATACAACATTAAATTTCAAAACACTACACGCTGAGGAGTGTCCTCATTTCAATCAGGACTCCTCCAGCTCCTTGGTCAGACCATGCATTACTACGTTCACCACCACATCAGGGGAGATGTGGCTGTGTCTTTACATGGAGCAGCAATACGGGAAAGAAATGACAACACCTGCAACAGAGGGAACCACAACATTGAGAGAACATCCTCCATTAAGACACACTTCCTTCTGAGCTGCCTCTTGTGCAGGGCACCTGTACTCTTTCCCACTGCCCTTCCATGCAGCTGTCCAACCCGATAGTAAGACGACAGAAAAGAAATTACAAGATGTAACCCACGATAACTAAACAGCTCAGCCATTTTGTTCCCCTTTTATTTACAGTGACAACTCTAAATTATAATTTGGCTTCAGAACAAAACGTCTTGGAAAATGCTGCACAAAGATCCTTAGTAGCTGTAAACTGCCATCATTTCACTGAGGGTAATAGATTTACACCTCTCTGTATCAGCTGGGGATCAGATCAATTTTCTGTGGGTTCACTAAGCCTTGCTTTTTTCTTACTGTTGGGAAAAAATTATAAACAGCTCTTCCTTTAGTATCTTTCTTTTTAATTTTTGTGGATTCTTTTTTAGTGTGCTTATATGTCAAGGAGTAACTTCTAACCGAGATGCTGCTAAACAGGGCCCCACTCTGAAGACTGTCAGTACGGGTGAATGTGTTTTCCTGGAATATCTTGTGCTGTTTGCAGAATTGCATGATTGTGTGACATCTGCTCCACATCTCATACGTGGTCGACTGAGAAGGTACAATTGTGGCAGATGGCTGATGATGACTCACCTCGCAGCAGTGAACACTGGTTTGCTTTCTGAGAAGTAACATCTTCATATTAATTTTGCAAGAGCCTGCAAAGATGTGACCAGCCCACCTGGTTTGCTAGCAGGCAGTGCAAGTTGCACGGAGTGCACAGGGATGCAATAGCAACATTTTTTTCCTTTATTATCCTGACTGGGATAAATTTTAAAATACAATTCATGGGCTACTATCAGATAAATCCAGAAACGGAAACTGGGTTCACTGCTGTACTGTCTAAACGCTAGGCATCTAAGTAGCAAAATTTGTATGTCTGAATGAGATAGAGATCTAGGATTCCTATGCAAAGGAAAAACAGAAAAACAATATTCAGAAAAGCCATTCCCCTGAGTGGGGAATCAGTAATATCAGAGAAAAAGACATACCTTAAACCCTGTTCATGGTCTGACTGCCCTGTTCCAGGCTATCAGGAATGCCATGATGGTTCTTAGTCAGCAGACCAGAGCAGAAGGTCATCCCCAGCAATTCTTGCATTCCACAAGAAATAACATACGCCCCTGCTATACGAGAGATCTTTGATCTGTTCCCTTCTCTGATGAGCCAAGTCTCTCTGAATTGCTAATGGCATTAATGTTTTAACATTACTGATGGCGTATGCATGACTAACAGCTGTGTCCTAAGGAAACTGATCTCATACCTTCAGTTTACAAAGAAACTACCCTAAAGTTTCCCAGGAAGGAAAGAGGGGAGGAAAAGGTGAGTAGAGAGGAGAAAAGGATAATGCTGTCATTGCTAATTCTGATTCTTCCCATATGGAACAAATACTAATCAGGTGTGACACAGGAAGAAAGCAAGAGCAAGCAGGATTATAATCCAGGATTTAAAGACATTAATGGCTCACAGTTCTCTTTCAGAGGTGAGTGCCATGTTCACGAGCACTTGGAGTCATACTGTCTATCTCTCTAGCCCAATGAAAACTCCCTTATAAAAAAATGGAAGCACTTCAATAGAAAAGATTTAAAATGCCTCTTTTCAGAAAAACCTATAACTCAGTGGTCAGAACTACAGCCACAGAAATAGGCATTCATGCTTCTAGAGACAGGGAGGGGAACTGAGCATGTTTGCCTTACATCCTCTGCACGTATTCCCACTACCAGGCAATGTCTCAAAAGGAAACTGCTCCTCTTCCATCATGTTACGGACACCAATGGACATGTTCCTAAAATACCTTCTGGGGTGGCTCCTGCTGAAGGACTTCAGATACTAGAAAAACATCGCTGAGCAGCATAAAGACAAAATATTTAGACGTACTTAAATTATCTACATGGTTGTCTTCTCTGTACTGCTACTGTTTGCTATCTGCTAAACATAAAGGGAATTCTCAAAATGGTACTGTTGTCACTTATCATCCTCAAGAGCAACTTAAAACCCTAGCACACTCCAAACCTGCAAAAGCTGAGTCCCTCTCCCTCAGATGGTGTACAATGAAGGTATTTAGTTCATACAGAAAGGATCTTTGAGGATAAAACTCTCACTGGAATTTTATATCATTCACTTTCCACCAGCAACTGTTGAGTTTACACCTTAGTGCCGAAAAGGTACATTAGAACTTTCTACCTGAGCTGTGCAGAGCTTACTCAACTTGTTTGGTACCTCTGTGCTGCTGACACAGAACTTTAACAGATGGCCTTACAATGCTGGCAGTTGTTTTGTGCTGTGCTAGTAATGAGGGGAAATAGTCTACACAAATTGTCTGCAATTCTGGAAAATAAATGAAGTATGAATCCATATTAACCTCAAAAGCCAAACTATAAAAAATCAGATTATAATCTAATGATGTATGCTTTCTGAGTCAAATGCTTAGTTGCTGCAAAATGGCAGTATTTCCCTTCCATAAGAGAAGTATGCTTTGCCACAGTGTCCACCAGGAACATCCATACAGACGTAATCTTTAGAAAGATATTGAAATATGCTAGGAATAAGCCCTCAGAACCTTCCTCATGTCATCAGTGATCACGACCTACCAGCAAACATACCTTCACAAACTGGATGTTTTTAAGATACATGAACAGTGAAGCAATAAGGTCCAATTTAATTTAACTGGTTCTATTTATTACTTTTTTTTCAGCGCTAAGCAGAATTCAAGAACACAACAGCTACTGTGCAAATGTTAAAATCAACAAAGACCAAGCAAGCTCAAGTCATTCTACGATTCTATGACACAGCCTCTTACACTTTTCTTCTGCCATTTGAAAAGAGGTAGATGTATCACAGGATGAATTTTACCTTCACTAACTCCTTCTGGTGGGATTCGCCCTGTCCATAAAGCAACATTATTCTCCCTCTTTGTTTCTGCATGGCTGATTTTTTCTCTTTTATTGTGCCAATTATCAGACATATCATCCGAGTTGAACTTATAAACTGTGTAAGCAGAATAGTGCTTTTTAAAAGTATGACAATGATTTTCTTCACAAGTAAAAGACAACCATGAAATGTATATTCGTGCATTCATATTACAATATACTTGTAGAAATTTAGAACGGGGTTTTAGAAAATTGGAAGCCTTTCAGTGCAATGCTCACCTCTTCCAATTGCTTTACATGAAAGATAGCTCAAAAGATGTTTCAAACAGATTTCAGGGATTTGGTGGTTCAGTTCCCATGTATTTCAATTTTCAGTGAGACAGTATGCCTGCTACCTTTTATGTTATTACAATGCTAGATACATTGATATACAGAACCCTTATGTACCATCAAAGCTTTAGAAGACCACAGAACCCTTAAAACATTAACATAAAAGAGCCCTTTAATTGCTAGAGGTACATTTCAGTCTTCCGCAGGGACTGAATCAAGGCTGTGCTAATAAAGTTTTATTTTATCCACTAGGGTTGCTTAAAAATACTATTTTTGGAACTGGGTGGTGCTAAATGTTTGTGACTTTGATACAAGCAAAAAGATCTTTATCTGTGTAATGTTATTTTGTACTCAAAGACCTCTGAGTTTGAAGCTGTTAACAAAAAATACTACTACTACTACATTTCAAATAGGTCTTACGTTTTTTTCTCTATTTTCCTCCCTCTCTCCTTTGCCAGACTAAGAAGACACAACATACCTTCAGAAAGTACTTATACAAATGCAAGGCAATCATTCTCTGAAAGCATGCATTATTTTTCATCACAAAAAAAAAATGAAAAAGTAATGTTAGATATTTAGTCATAATATAGGAACATTAGCCCTTCTGCTTTTTTTTTCCCAGGCTTAAAAATTCTGTCATATATTTCAAGCTATGATCCTTGATGTAGCACTTCACAATGAAATTCCCAGGAGGAGAATTGGAATACATGTTTTAGTACCAAGCACATTGTATCTTGGGAAGAGGTCTTCCCTTGCAGATGCAGAATATGAGTGATGTGATGGGAAAACTTAATGCCATCCTCCTAGTTACTGAGAGCTCTTCCAGTCTCTACAACACCTGGTTGTATTACCCTCTTCCTTGAGCCTCTGTTCACTGCTCAATTCAGGCCCCACAGATCCATGGTGAATATCAACTGCTCTTGTGAGATGCAGACAGGTATATACAACTACATATGTCAAAAGATGTCTATATGGTGTCTACATATGTCAGAAGGACGTGACATGAAATGAAAGCAGTTTCCTGGGGAAACTAAAAGTAACGAAAAAGTGTAGCTGCACAGAACTTACATTATACATGCCAACAATTGTCAGTGCTCTACCTAAGGAAGATTCGAGCACTCTTGGACTAAATGATCTGCCTACAGCTGTGAGCAAAGGTCATTCTCAATGGTTTGGAACAAATTTGGTAGGCCTGCACTAAAACAAGAAATAGTCACAGGAACTCAAGACTACAAAATTTCCACCAAGAAAATACATTGGTTAGTGAATATGGATTGTTGTTCTGCAGCTTGTGCCCCAAGCTGGGCTTTACTCAATTTTGATATGACTAAATGTGGTCAAAATGCAGTTTGCTTGAGTACGGTCTTTGTGATTTATCTGTGTTCTCTTTATCCAACACTTTCTGAAAGAGTACCCAACATTTTTCTTCTTAAATACCTTTATAGTTTCAGTAGGCACTCCAGGCTCTGGAACTTTATCCAAGTAAGTAGTCAAGTCTTGATCCACATGTTCAAACACCAACGTTAACTTGGTCTCTCTATCTGTTCGTGACACGGTGCACACATCAAACAATCTGAGATGAGGGAAAGAAAAGAGGAGGTGAGTATACAGGAGCCAGCACAGACACACCCTGCAGCTCACACGTGTCTATTTCAATTTCCTACAGCACAGAGAACTAAAAAAAAGAGCATTCCAAAGGTAGTGCAACTTCAATCTCTTGATCCATCAGATAACTACGGATACATTGATAATATGACCTCTTTCATGTAGGGATTATAATAGGGGATTAAGAATTCATCGGCTTATCAAAGTAAAATAATTATATTAGAAGAAAGTATTTTCTTGATAGAGCAACCAAAGTTAATACAGAACCTGATCTGACATTTATCCACGGTCTACGCTTCATCAACTGCACTTCTCAAAAAAAACCAATATAAGTAACATTTCTGAGGGAAAAAAGATACAGGTTGCCTGCACACACCTTCAGTTTTTTCCCGCGTAACTCTGATGTTCACCATTATGTGCCTTTAGAATTAAATTTTCTTTGGTAGAAATTAAATATTTTTACTGATTACTCCTGCAAATTTCCAGAAGCAAGGAATACATTCAGTCAGGATACAGCTAGGAAAAAAGCCTTAGGCACAAGATGCCACTGCTGAGAAAGCTTTCTTTCATCACTTTCTGCCACTCTTTTACTGGAATTTCTTTATCATTTTACCACGTTGCACAACATCAAATTCAAACTTATTTTCAAAGCTGTTCACAATTTTGCATTCCTACCTCATTACTCTATTTTCTATTGTCTTCTTTTTTCTAATTAGGATTTTTCTCACCTTCTTCACTTCATCTACTGTGCCAGTTTTTTTATCTTCTACACAGAATCCCTCCCATCCTTCAGTACTTCACACCTATTGTTGTACCACTGACCATCACATTCACCATCCTCCCTCAAGTCTCACTTCTAAAAAAAAGTCCTAACAGGAAATCATCCTACAGATGGAAGAAAGCTGTTCCCTGCTCACATACTTTACTAATGTGTGTATTCACTTAGTTGACAAATTGTACAGACCAGTTTGCCTCTCTCTGAAGTAAGGCAGAAAATCAACTGCTACTTTTATTAGGTGACAGTAGAGCTAAGAATACAATTAATACCATTATTAAGAAAGATATCCACACTGCTAAAGTGAAAAACCTATCGTTGATAACAAATCAAAAGCAGTACTAATTATTTTGGTCAGTGTCACTGAATATGACATTGAAATCATGTTTTTCATTACAGACGTCTTTTATGCTCTTACACAGAATAACTGCTTGTTTACTTTGTGGAAAGTGTAGGATTTCTGATAATTTTTTCAAGTAATATTTTCGTCTTTTTCCTAGGACTAAGTACTTCATATGCAGGATCTGTAGACAGCAGATGACACACAAAGCCCTGGGGGTCAATTTTAAAATGCGTCACCTGAGAGCAGAAGAGGCAAGTACCTTGTACAGAGTTTTTACTTCTTATCTTAAGTAAGAAAATATTTCACAAAGGAAGGGAAGATAAGAATTGGCAACACTATCTGTGAAGACTGCGACCAGTTTAAAAGAGCATTATGCTTCATTTGAGACAGTATAGATTTAACATGTTATGGCTCTGGTCCCATTTTAATAGCATTTCCTAAATAATCTTTGGTCAGACACTTGAAAATTGTTTATTAGACATTATGTTTTGAAAATGGATGCATGTACATTCCTTTTAGCCTGAAAGAGCCTTTCAGTGAGTAATTATTTGGGAACTGGAGTTACAGAATATGGAAAGCCATCGCCCTACCTCTGTCAAGAAAATGTAATCTGTGCTTAATCTGTAATCATCACATGAATGAATATTTATTGAGTGATTATGGGAGCCTAATTACTGTTAACAGCGCATTTCTCATACAGATATATAGTATTCTCTTTGTGATTCTCTTAATGCAGTATGTATGGAGATGCCCGTACACAGTGAATCAGTTTTGTGGAAAGTCACAAACCTTCCTGAAAAGTTAAATTTGGTGTTATTTGGCTGGAGGTTAATAATCTGTAATATATTTATATAAATCCATGTGGAATGTAGTCGGACTGCCTATAACCCCAACACATGCAAATAGAGAGGAGCCAGACAGGTCTGAACATCTGAACATAAACACTGGAAAATATTTCCAACTGTATGATTTCTTTGTGTTGACCTACATTTACCTAAAAATGTTCTAAAACACCTCTTTTGCCTGGTATTTAATACACTGGCAAAATTATCCTTTCAACCGCAGCAGAACTATAATTTGCTAAAAAAAAGCAAAAAAGATTTCACTGTATACAATATAGAACCAACATGAAACTTCCAACTCACTGTAGAAGGAAATGCTGATTCTCTGTTTAATTCTTCTGCGTTGGGCTTATTTTAATGCTGGCATTTTCTGACACAGCACAATTAGGAACTCTAAGGAGTGCAATTCTAGTCTTCTATTATTGAGCCATAATACTATCAGTGATTAATAATACCTTAACCTTTTATAAAGCCATTATGTGAAACTCTAAATGGTCTACTGCTAATAAACCTCCATATCCTACATGGGGCTGGTTGGAAGCGCATTGTGTTTACTTGCAGAAAACAACTGTTGCCTTAAAAAGACAATAATTTACAGAGTAACAGAAATGAATCTGCAATATTACAAAAAACATCTGGCACTGCCTGCACTAATAATTTTGAAAATATGTAGGATACTCCAAAAGTAATGCTTCCTATTTATTTGCAAGGAAATCACAACAGATACAAAGAGCAAAATAACTACTCGATAGAGAAATTTTCAGCTATGAAATACTATGATTCAACACAATCACCACCATCAGCTACGCACTTTTGCTAGCAATGAACGAGAGCTGCTTGCGGTTTTTGTATAAATCTGCATGGCTGTCCAGAACATGGCTTGTCTTTCATGTCACTGTCATTGCTGCTGCACCACCCACTGTGCTCATATCCACTGTTAAGACTCCATAATCATTAGCTAAGCATCGATGAAGATCAATGGGTACAATTTTTCCTTCAGAGAGGAATTCAATTCCACACCTTTACTTCATATGCACTTCTACGTCACACACCACTCCTCCGTGTCTGCTGCCCTCTGTCACATGGCAACAACATGCTACAGAACATTGGGAAGGTTCAACCTCTACTTCATAGCACCAACATCCACCTTGGATGTCATGGGCCGATGTAGTAGAACAGAAGGCATTACTTTAGGAGCAGCCCAAAGAAGATTGAGCAAAACAGAGCATCTTCACCAGACAGTGTCCATGGGGATCAAACTACTTTTCATAAATTATTTTATATCCACTACAGAAAACAATGCACAGAGTTGTCTTCTTTAGTTAGGCATACTTCTGCTGTGTGCACTGCTTATCTTTCACGCCATTTCCTCATGATTTTCTCTACATGATGAGCCAGCTGTGTATGTCACTGCCTCTCTGGAACAGGCAACAGCAAAAGAGCTTCTATTTAAAGAGTTAGGTTGTGGACACCATCCTAAGTGAAGTGAATGTACTTCAATTAATACAGGATTTCCATACGGAATTCTCTGTAAACACAAGCCCTGCCCTTCTATTGTACTTACAAATGAAACGATTGAATTATTTGATTAAAGTAAGATCCGCTATGGGAAATCCTGCAAGTATTTAACAAGATGTTTGGCTGGAAGTCATGTATCGCCTGACGCGTTGAGCTGAACTAACACTGTTCAACAGACATTTAATGAGTACCTATGTTTTAATGCATTTTTTCAGGTTAATAGTACTAAAGTAAAAAAGCTTATCAGATACGAATCTAATCTGTATCTATTTTACAAAAATATCTTTCTCTTTCTGAATGTAGTAAACTAGATGATGCATCCTGAAGTCCCTGTTATTTCTTACAAGTAATCTGGTAAAAGCAATCCCAGTTCATCTTTATTTCACATCACAACATGTGAATGATAAATGCTTTCAGCAGAAAAAAGGCAGTTTGCCAATTCCCTTGAAAACACGGCATATATTCTGACTGCTACTAATTTGCTAACAGCTTCTAGAAGGTCTTTCAGTGTTATTAGATTTGCTTTTGAGATGCTCTGAGAACTGTTATAAAGTTACCCATTTTCAAAAGGAATAAACTTTTTTTTTCCTGTGCAAACTGAGGCAGCAGAGATGGAGATCAAAACCATCAGGCTACCAGGCTTGCCACCTGCAGAAAATACCAAACAAGAGGTCTGACTGTAAGACCTGAAAAACTGCAGGACATTAGCTCCCTTGGTTACTCTCAAACAGATGAGTAAGTACAACTGGAAAACTAACCAGAGCATAAAGGGAACACTCGCTGCCAAAGCATCCAAAGGCTTATTGTTATTTTTATTGCAGTAGGGCTAATCCAACACGAACAAAGATCCTGTTACTGTGCTGGTCACTCACAGCACAGAACAAAAAGACAGTCTCTGCCCTCAGAAGTGTTTTAGTAATAGGGATTTACCATAATTTTCTTAGGAACAGTCTCTTCCCAGGAAGAATTGCTTCCTAGATTGTATGTGACAAAAAAAAAAAAAAAGAAAAAAAAAAAGAAAGAAAAAGAGAACTGGAGATGCTGAGAAGGAGAAATATTTAAGATGTTTCCAGGTTTCAGAAACCTGGACAAAGACTTAGATGGAAAAGAGTTCAGTGGTCTCAGCGTAACTCTGAAAGGTATTTACCACAAGACAGAAAACCATCATGAAATATGACAGTGTTCATGCAAACATGACAAAATTCGGGTACCAAAACTACTACAGGTCATGACTGAGGTTTATTGACAAATATGTTTGGGGCAGCCTGAATAGCTTCTGCTTTCACTACCTGTGGCTCCACTTAATCCTGCCAGTACATAATCTCAAGTGCACAAGAATTTCAGCTTCTCATACCTAAAAACATTGAAGAATGACAGTCAGGCATCCCTTGGGTCCAAATTTCAGCAGCAGCCTTAGACTCTTCTGTTCTCTGGAAGTCACTAGTCTGTAAGATCTGCCTCCTCACCACTTGAAAGCCCTTCTCAGCCCA